ATTTTAGTCAGTTTTATTTCCATCTTTTCAGGCCCTTCTGCCTAAGACTACTCTGCTCAGCAGGTAAACTCATAAATATGTACGCTTCAGAATGGCATCTTCTAAGGTACCATGGTCTTCCCACCCTATTTAGTTGTCCACCTCCTCCTCATCATTCTGTTCTTCCTCTTCTAGCCTTTCCTCATCTTCATCATTGTCCTCATCTCTGCTCTTGTCTTGTTCTTCTGAATCGGTTTTTCTGTCTCTTTCTTTCTTTCTTTTGCTCAGATGATTCCTTCTTGCCTTTCTGCTCCCGCCTGTATGCTTCCAGAGCCTCTTTCAGTGGAGTAATGAAGCGCTGGAACTCCATTTCTTCCATGGCTGAGAGGACATCAGTAGCATTGAGAGTCTTGCGTTTCCCTTTCATTGAGAAGTTGTTGGCACAGGAAGTGGCATACAGCACGAAGACACTGGCGGCGCGGGAGATGGCACTCCGGGCCCCCTTGGAGATATTGACCCCGTCCGGGAGCGCCTCCTTGATGATCCGGGTGATGACGGCATTGGGCAGATTTAGATCCTCAGGCCTCTCTGCCATTGTCACTCCCGCAGCCTCCTCTTTAAAGTCCGTTCCGGCGTCCTGACTTCCCGCGTCGATGCAGTTTATTTCCTTTTTAAGAGCTATGTCTCTAGATCCAAAAATTCCAAATTATCAAAGTTAATGTAGCTTAATTAAAAGCAAGGCACTGAAAATGCCTAGATGGATTCACTGAACCCAATAAACATAAAGGTTTGGTCCTAGCCTTATTATTAGTTATCAGTAAGATTCTAGATGCAAGTATCCACTAACCAGTGAAAATGCACTTTTACTCGCTCTACCCAGAACAAACCCCAAGGAGCTGGCATCAAGAACACAACGGTAGCTCAAAACGCCTTGCCTAGCCACACCAACACGGGATACAACAGTAATAAAAATTAAGCCATAAACGAAATTTAACTAAGATATACTGATGAGGGTTGGTCAATCTCGTGGCAGCCACCACATTCATACGATTAACCAAAATTAATAAGAACCGGCGTAAAGTGTGGTTAAAATGTAAGTATAATAAAGTTAAATTAGCTCTCCGCTTTAAAAAGCTGAAGATCTAAAGTAAATAAACTACTAAAGTGACTTACCTAATAATGAATCCAATGTTAGCTAAGACACAAACTGGGATTAGACATCCCACTATGCTCAGCCCTAAACCTTAGTATTTAGTAACAAAAATACCCGCCAGAGAACTACAAGCCAATGCTTAAAACTCAAAGGACTTGGCAGTGCTTCATATCCCACTAGAGGAGCCTGTTACATAATCGATAAACCCCAATATACCCTACTGTCACTTGCTAAACCAGTCTATATACCGCCATCTTCAGCAAACCTCTAAAGGGGGAAGTAGTAAGCTTAAATGTATTCAGAAAAACATTATGTAAAGGTGTAACCTATGTGATGGAGCATAATGGGCTATATTTTCTTCACAAGACCACTCTCGAACTCCAATATGAAATTATAGGATAAAGGAGGATTTAGCAGTAAGGCAGGAATAGAGAGCCTGACTGAATATGGCCATGAAGCACGCACACACTGCCCGTCACCCTCCTCAAATGACTAGGACTCATACTCATATTTAAATCCACATGACATGAGAGGAGACAAGTTGTAACAAGGTAAGGATACTGGAAAGTGTGCTTGGATTATTCAAAGTGTACCTCAAACTGAAGCACATGGCCTACACGCAGAGAATTTCATGACCATGACCACTTTGAACAAGACCTACCTCTTAACCTGCTCATCACAAGTATTTATACCCATAAAACAAAACAGTAGCCAAAACGTAGTATAGGAGAAAGAAAACTTACCCAAGACGCAATACAAGCAGTACCGTAAGGGAAAGATGAAAGACAACTTAAACTACAAAACAGCAGAGATATACCCTCCTACTTTATGCATAATGATCTAACAAACAGTAAAGGAATATTTGCAGCTAATGTGGGTATAATATCTATGATTCATTCGCACATAAGAATTCAAACATGAGTAGCTACGCTTAATTTCATCTATGTACATTTTCATTTTAAAATTCATGACTACATCAATTCACACCTATATCAAAACTGAAAAAATTTATTACCAATGTATCTAAACGCCAACCCATGACAACATATGAACTCACCAATTCATAAAAAGCAGTAATTGCAGTTGTTGTACATTGTTCTACAACAATATATCAAAATTTTAATAACAAACTTACGGATCGCTACCATCAATCAATTTCTCTAATAAATCCATAACAACCTAGGGATTCTTACATTCAAAGTGATAATCAAGCCGTTAATTAAAAATTTATATACATTTCATTTCATAACTCCATCTGAACAGATTCCCACATTATCAGCAAGCATTGAAATATTAATTGGCAATTTATCTTCATTGAAATTCATAAATTAGGCCTAGTGGCAAGAAGCTCCACTGCAATCCTAGAAGTACATGGTTCGAATCCACTAGACGCTCTCCTGGAGAAGGAGAGGCAATTTCCTCCTCTACCAGTCAGATCTGATTTGATGGTACACACAAAAAAAAATTAAAAAAATTTTAAAAAAAAGAAATAGAAGCCCAAGCACGGAAATTCATAAATTCACCACAAGAGGAATACATCTTTTCTTTCACAACAAGCATTACACTTTTCATGTCAATGGATCCACAGGGCCATTCATAACTTCTCCACAGGAGGGATACACACATTAATAGCAACCCTAATAGCACTCATTACATTCCATCAATATTGCAATTCAATATATCACTGTAGGGATGCATTCATTTATCGCAACCATCAAACCTTTGATTGTAATAAATAAACCCCACAATTAATAAATTATTGACAAAATGTAGATACACTCTTTGAAAGCAGTAATTGCAATCTCCCATCATTGGAATACATAAATGTCTCACAACATAGGGACTCACTAATTCACAACAAGCACAGAACCATAAATGGCATAGTTAGCAATCAGAAAATCATTAAGGATAATGCTGCTGCACTGAAATTCATAAAGTCATCAAAACAGAGATTTATTAATTTATAACAGTCAGTCAACTTTTAATTCCCATTTTTTCACATCAAAATTCTTAAACCAATCTTCAAAGATACCTTAACATAGTCAGGAAATTGAAGCCAAAGACTTACCTGATAACGTGGTCTCCATCGCAAACTTGGCATGGACGATTCGTGAGACATTCAGTAGTTCACCGCCATGCTTGGAAATATCTTACCTGCTCATGTGCAGTATTGTGGACAGAGTTCATGACTCAAAAGAGGCTTAGGCTGTTCAATGTACATCTCACTGTCCTCTGCAAAAGTGTAGAAAGGAACCCTATCAATGATTTTAAAAAGAATGTGGACACAGGATTCTACTAGTGAATAATGAGAACGCAAACAGTTGCATTGTGATCTCTATATAGCCGGTGTTTTTTACCTGCACTTACACAGAGGCCAACATATCTAATCAGTGTTATTAAATCCAACTAGTATCATGCATAAGCTGAGTAGAGGGCTGAGATGACATCCGAATTATGTGTGAACACAACTGAGTCTCACAACATCCTTTAGAAGAAAAGTGAGCTAGACACACTAGAGTCGACGGCGATCTGCCCCTGATCAAACCCTATGAGCATCCTAACTGGGCTCCCACTCTCTCTGTGCATGGCCTCACAATGTCTCAGATCTGTGAAAAGGACTGACAGTCCTATACTATAATCTAAGATCAACCAACCCCCGAACCACCCGTGTGAGAACCTTAGAATCAGCTGTGAGATACTCGCTCCACAACTAGCGTCATACCTATTGTGTGGGCATAGCTGATAGCAGAATATGATAGGCAATGCACATATGAGTCCTTTAACACCCAAGTGTGGGAATTAAAGGTGCTGCAGAATGCTGTCCAATCTTAGTGCTGTGCCTGCATTTAGGAAGGCTGACAGTGACACAAGGTATGCAACTCACACAGTCCTATCCTTATTTGTGAATGAAAATTACTTTTCCATAGCGTTATCTCTACACTTTGGCAGTCTACCCCCTGTATTAAAGGATCACCTCTAACACTATAATTACTGTATACCTTACTACCTGCACAGTAATGAATGATAACCTTACTTCAGGATGATCTCTTCACACGTAAAATCTACACCAGTCTCATATGACAATGTGATATATGTTTTGAGAGAAGGAACGATACAATTCTTTTACTCTTGGGCACTTGGGTCATCTACCAGCTATGTGAAGAACTCATCTACTGCAGAAGGAAACCAGCACACAAGGCACAACTTACTTGATGATGATTGAGATAGTTGATGTAGCTCGAACACCTCATTCCCATGTCCTGTACTTACCCTATTTTGAGGGCTGCCCACACTACATGATGAAAAGGGATCTCAAGAGAGCTATGACTGTCCTATTAACCAGTGTACGAGTTTTCAAGGACTCCGCACACCTGAGAGGTTAACTGTCCCATAAGAAGGACTTAGAGTTGCATGATGATCCATATTCAGCTGATCCCTGTACCTACAATTAGAGGTGTGCTTCATTTACACTGGATGATTTGTTCTGTGCATGCCCTGAGTGGAAATCACAATAGAACAGATTCATCCAAAAATACACCACAGTCCTGAATTTCCTGTGTTAAGTTGAGAGCAATGACCTCTGCGGTTTATTAACTCATGAGTTGTGTACCCACTGTTACAGGGAAGCTGACAGTGATGCCATTTGGTTGTGGTTAACCTAGTTTTGTACTACCCTGCGAAGAAGAGTGAATGTACCACGGTAACATCTGTTCACAGTACATTCATGTATCTGCCTGTTAAGGGAGGCAGAGATCTAAACAGAACTGTCAACGTCACCCTGAGAATTACATACCCTGACAAAACTAACCTGTACACATAACAAAGCCCCAGACGTACTTATTGAAAGCACCTACGCACACATCAACATCGTTTCTCCATTCCTAACTCCAATACTTGTGTTTTCAAAATAGTGGACAGCACTGCTATAAGACCCGCATACACTTCTATACTGTGCCAGCCTTGGGAAAGAGACAAAGCATACCACCAGACAGTTTAGGACCAACTGATTCCCATACCTGCCATGTAAAGTCAGCTGACAATCATACTTGATGGATAATTTTTGAATCCCCAAGGCAAGAACACTCTAGACCAAGACAATGATCCCAGCCTAAACGTAGCCTTTGAGCAACTATATCCTTGATGGGCTCTATTGCCAAACAAATTGCGATGGTACCCAGACATGTTTCTGAAGTATCTGCATGGGAGGAAGAAAAAATCAGGTCTGGGATGAGCTAGACACACTTTACTCCTGTATCTGCCCTCTTTGAAGATCAGATGACAGTACAGCATAATCCTTGCATATCACCTATCCTCTGAAGAGAACTGAGAGTTTTACACTGTGATCTATACAAACTCCATCTTGGATACACTGTCTAGAGAAGGAAGACTGTTAACCAGGAAAATCGCTGGACAGGTAGTTATGTTAGTTAATTACGAGCAGA